GATGGAAATGTCTATGGTCTTTTCTTCTACTCTGAGATCTTGAGTTTGGTTGATAATCTGGTATTTCAGTGGACAACAAGGGATAGTTTCTTATGAGATTGAAGAAAGCTATCCAACCTTTTTGTTCTTCGCCCACGAGGATAAAAAGCTTGTTTAGGCCTCCATTTCCATGAAAGATTTCAGCCATAGTACTCTTCTTGTTTGTGAGTTTTTCTATCCAAATGGTCTGTTCTGAAAAATGTTTCTCCTTGAAGAATTTTTGGTTTAATGGAGCCAATAGTAGTGCTTGATATGATGTTTTCGGCCATTGGAAAGAGTCCCATTTCAATGATAGAAAAAAAAAGTTTGTTGATGTTCAATTTAGCTCAATCTTGTATAACTGAAGGCGTCATTTTGTAGATGTTTCATTCTGGATTCGATGGGGCCATGGGCTTTCAGATTCAATCCAAAACTTTTTACCATCAGAATATAGCTTGATAAGTTAACATAAGCCAGTACTTCTTGAAGAATCCCACTCACTAAATGCTCATCAATAAGTTCGTAGAATTAATTATAAAACTTACATTTTACAAGACTAAACTTTTATCTATTGGACAAAACGTTGTACAATCAATTAAAGTCCAAAGTAGAGTCATATAACCAGTATATAACATAAGGATGAATGCGACTATGAAATTACTTATAACAAGATTTCCATAAAGAAGCGACAAAATAAGCATTCTCCCAAAGATGCGAAGGTTATTTATGAATCTTGGAAAATTATATTGTTTCTTTTAGCAAAGCCTCCCACTAAATAACTTAAATGGCATTATCTTCACAAACTTTGGCCGGCCTAGCAATGGCGCAGTTAGAAAAAGTAAGCAATAGCAGCACTGACAATACAACACAATTAAATAAGTCAACCACAGATGAGTTACCCATATTTTGTAAATTGGATACTAAGGAGGCATATTTGAGATGAGAGAGGCAAACCCAAGCAATAGAAGAGAGAGCATAGGTTATTGTATTAGGAGACTTACGGTGTGCTTGCCATCAAGATACTCAAGATCATCACGCAAAGTGAAATAGAACTGGAAAAAAAAAAAGAGCAAGAATGCCGTCTTAGTTTTTAATGTAGTGCAAGCAGGTAAGTTTCAGAGAACATGCACCAGTACAGACAACACTTAATAACAGAGGAAACAAATATACATATCAATAGTACCTGAGAAGCATTAAGATTTTCTCCAGCACTAGCCATTGCCACAGTGCCAGTCTTAGAGTGCTTTAAATCGAGATGAATCTCGTCATTGAAGAATCGAGCCTGGTCCCCATATAGAAATCTAAAGTTTGAATATAAAGGAAGAAGATAAGAAGACACGGTGAAAAAAGAAAAGAGATATACATCACGCCGTAATACATAAGAGGCCTACAAGTTTAAATTATTATTTCGAATCTAACGCAGCCAGCAAGCAATATTATAATATGAATACTAAAAAAGAAAAATTCCAAAACAAAAATAGAAAAAATAGCTTGGAAGATCAAAATATTGCGAAAGACAGCACACACTTGTAGATTGAGTCACCACCAGTGCCAGTGCCAGTGGGGTCACCAGTCTGAGCAGTAAAGTCCTTCTGTATTGTATGAAATAGACAGCCATTGTAGTACTTAATCCTGCATCAATCCAGGAAAAAATAAGAAAGATGCCATAAAACTGACAATGAGATATGCAAACCGTAAAGGTGAATTCATCACAGCTAGTAAACTAAATAGCCACTGCAATCAGCTATATCTTATAATACGAAAATGAACAGTTCCGCCTAATAAATTGAAATTTTCACTGATGGAACGATGAAAACTGTTGTTTTTCGTTGGTGAAAGCGAAAAAAAGAAAAGAAAACAAAACAAAACAGAGTACTCAGAACACAATCCAGGCAGTAAAAGTAATAGATAGAACAAAGAAAATGAAAAGAAATTTACTCACTTGCAGAGCTTCAAGAAATTCTTGGAGGTCAAGGGGCACATGTCGGTGTGAAGGTCGATCACAATGTCCCCCAAACTAGTAACAATGAGCACAGACATGGCTTCCGCTTTCTGTCCTCCTCCCTCCGCAGATTGCTAAGTTTGGTTCGAGGCAATTACATGCGCCAGTTGGTGGAGCTATTCGGTCAATGCTTTGAATTGAAGGCTGAAACTCCAGAGTCCAGCTGAAGTCCCTTCAAGGAGGGGAGCAATCGGTAGAAGAAGAGCGATCACAGAGATAAAGTTGGAGGGAAGGCGCCGGTTTTGGCTAAACCGAGATCGAAGCGGATCGATGGCAATGGCCGTATTCTCGAGAATATCCTATACGGGCAGATGTAGCATAAGAAGTATACATAACCAAACTAACAATCGCGAATCATGTTGCCCTCCGAGCCCTAGGCCCAAGATTTTGGACTATTTAGGCCGGTAAAAAATTGAGTGGGCCTTTCGCCGAAGAATGAACTGGGGCGGGCCTGGAGTCCTTATTTACATTATTGCCCTTTTGACATATCCATTTTTCAAAAAATGTCCCGCTCCTGTAGTTTCTTTTCCCCCTAAAATACTTTTTTTTTTTTTTTTAAGAAAAAAAATGGAAAAATATGAAGAACAAGTTTTAGTAAAATAATGGTATAAAAAGAATTTGAATGGAAGAATAATTGTCCCACGTGACCCACCAAATGCATAATTGGTTTATCTTTCCTAGATTACTTATCATTATTTTATAATTTTTTGTTATTCTTTTTGTAAAAAGAAAAGAAAGGAAGAGAAAAAAGGAAAGAAAGAATGTTTAGAGTATAGACTAGAGAAGGTAGGGGCAAACACCCATACCCTGTGCCTGCAAAACCCACAAAACATGTATAAAAAAAAATAGAAAATGTGCATAGATAGATATGAAGTTCCGAAGGAACAAACCCCTGTGCCTGCAAAAACCCCAGACATTGAGATCAAACCAAAAGAAGAGCATATATGAATGGTGAAAGTGGCAAACACCCAAAACAAAACAGAAGCTTTCTTTTCATCTTATGCTCTGCAACATATCATCATCTTTAGATTCATTTTCAGCCAATATGGGCCATTAATTTCTCCTCTATCTCAACCAGTACGCATGGGTTTTTTCTCTAAACACACTATAAACTTTCCATTTTTCGCTTACATTTGTTCATTCATAATCCAGGCATTACTTGTATGGTTAATTAAGTTCACCGTAGTTGTGTTTTAAGATGGGAATAATGTATAGTTTTCTCTTTTCTTTTCCCCCTTTTTGGCGTGTGTGGATTCGTAGCTTTAGTCAAAGAAAATGGGCAAAGGTGTGTACTTTATGGAGAACCATGCAAGTGGGCAGTAAGGCCCACACTCTGAGGGTGTAGAGAAGGGAAGGAAGAGGTGTTAGGGTAAAATGTTTGATGGGATACAAAGGGGCAAACAATCCATGATGGGTACCTGATACCAATTTCAGCCTACAAAATCTGATGTTCAATCTCTTTTTTCTTTTTAACTCTCCACTTTTGTACCAATTTGGGCGTGAGAGGATAAAACGTCATAAAACGCATCCTCCAAACCAACTTGGATTTACTTACTTTACTTTCATTCTTGATCTCCATTTTACCCGACTTAACTCTTCCTTCCTACCACACGTGTTGCAGTGCTGTACACACTTCAATGATCAATCCCACATCAGTTTGAGACGGAGACGAAGCATTTCTTATAAATATGTGAAACCTTTTCCTACCAAACGTGTTTTAAAATCGTGAGGCTGACGGCGATACGTAACAGACCAAAGCGTATCCAGTGCATGTCACGACCGGAGGCTAGCTCAAAGAGGCCTCGCTGAAGGGGGCTGGTTTGCCTGGTCCAAGTGGCTTTTAGGGCGCCCACATGGACTCGAGACCTCACTCATAGCCATGAGGATTACTATATACTTATGTTGCTGAATTAGGTAGCTTGATGTATACTTTAGTAGGCAGCGACAAGAAAAGAAATGAAAGCATGGGAATCACTTTTTAAGATGAGAAAACAGTAGTGCAAAATCTGTTGAGAAATCTTTTTGAATCGGATACTTATAAAATAGTTTGAAACTAATGAATTGTTCAAGATTCTACTGGCATTTTATGTCTTACAACACTCGCTCAAGATTATATTCTACTCGCAACGTGAATTTAAGTTGGCGATAGGACTGATGTAATTAAAGGCATCGATAATGGACGACAAAGATTCTTCAAAGGCAGCAATTTGGGTTTTATATGCGATAACCCTCTCTTAATTCAACAAACGCATGTAACAAAGGTTAATTCTTCTTTGACTGGATTGATTAAGGATCATCATCTCCTCGTATTAAATTCAACTTCCTAGATAATTAAATTATTACAAGTACAAAGTATATGTACACAAGAAGAAAAGGGGCCAATTATTCGTTCACCATATACTACATTATTCAAAATCAAAGCTCATAAAATATTACTTTAGACAGTGCTTCCTTGAGTTTCTAATGAATAATCATTATATTCATCACCAATTCCTATATAGAGGCAATAGAGATAACGGATAATAACCTTTTCTTGTATACCTCTTCTTTGGGGAAAAACCCTTGTAGTCAAAAGAAAGTCAAATTCATAAATTCACGACACAAAAGTAGACCTATAAATTTACGACATCCTTTTTATTCTTTTTCTTTCTTTAATTTGTATTGGAAAATCGAAAGAGAATGAATCCAAAATAGTTTCATAATTTGTCTATTAATATGTAATCAGTTTCACAAGAGGGTATTTGTAGTTAAGATGTTAGATGCTAAATGTTTGAGGTCCATGTGATATCAGATTCTTGCATTGCCCTTTACCTTTCAACAAACTCCCTAACAAATAACAATCTTTTAAGGTTTATATCAAACCATGTTTGTTAATTGTTACTGCTAAAACCTGAACATGGTTTGAAGGTGTTAAGAAACAAACACACTACTCACAGTTTAGTTAGTTTTGGAGTTGGTCTTGGGGAAGCTGTCCCAATGCTAATTATATCCCTCTTTTAATACCCAAATAAACCCACCCGCCACCCATCCAACAACAACTTGCTCAAGCTTAACCCAATTTCACTACCCCACTCGCACGCATATATACATATATATACGTAAGAAACCAAATACCCTCAACTCCATTTCCTTTCTTAATCAAACCAAAACCCATATGGCTTCCATTCCTCAATTCTTCTACACCGACTATACAGCAACAACATCATTAATTCCCAATGACTTCTGTGAGCAGCGCCCTCCTCCAACGGCGCCGCCACTGGGCGGCGGTGTATTGTGGGGCGAGGAAACTTTGGTTCCTTTGTTCGATGATTTTGGGCTTCATCATCAACCTCCTATTTCCCCATCCCAATACTCTTCTCATAAACCTGGCCTGACACCCACCTCGTTTCCTCACCAAGACATGATCGCATTGCCTGAACTTAACACGCCCTCCATGTGTGCCACTAATAATGCAGCCCCATGTCAAAACTTTTGCGTTGGGTACCAACCTGATGATCATCCCTTGTTCCAATATCCAGACGATTGCTTCCGTTTGGTGCCCGAGACCGAACCACTTTACCACCCGCTTCCTCCTGACAACTGGGTTGAGTCATAAATTGTCCATTATGATTTAGTTTATATCCTTATTGAAAATTTACGATTTTCTTTTTTTTTAATTAATTGTGAATTGTTTTAGGAAATTCAAAGCAACCAAGTTCCTGTATCTGAAGACTCAAACATGAAGGTGGGCCGCTATTCTGAAGAAGTAAGAAAAGAAAGGATTCTGCGGTATTTGAAGAAGAGAAACCAAAGAAATTTCAACAAAACCATTAAGGTATATAATATTTGTAATCTGGTTACACCATAAATTAATAGAATACAACATATGATATAAGGTTAATTTGTGTGTGTATAAATTAAACAACAGTATGCATGTCGGAAAACCTTAGCCGACAGAAGGATTCGAGTCCGAGGAAGATTTGCGAGGAACAACGAAGCATGTGATCAACAACTTAATCCAACTAAGATCAACCACACTTCTATTCACAAAGTGGACACTCAATTATTATACAACCAAGACCATGTGGGTGCCCAGGTATCTATCTATCTACAAACTGCCCAATTAATTATCCCACATGCATTAACATCTTAATTTAATATTACAAGTTTTTTAAAAAAGTAAATTAACCTTTTGAAGTTGATTAGTGGTTTAATAGACATAATATTATTATGATATTTGCAGAGGAAGAAGGATGAAGAAGAATGGGTGGAAGAGATGACAGGGTTAATGTACTTACCATACATCAGCAGTTGAGAGATGGCAGTGATGAAAATCAAAAAGGGGCAGCAAATTAAAGGGAAGAATATATGAAAATACTTGGTGGGTAGGGCGTACTATAATTAATGAATTAAATGAGCAGAGGTAATTATGATAATGTTCGGAGTGTTAATTTTTTAATCATCCTAGGATATGGAAACATAGGAGAGTAAGAGAAGGAGGGTTGAGCATTTTGTGGGTGTACGTTCATCCAGTCATTCAAATAATACATATATATATAATATGGTTTAAAAAGGTGTAGTTGATGGGATAGGATAGTGTTGTATAAGTTCTGAATTAACAACATATTTTGTAAGAGTAGTAGTCCTCTCAATATGAACATAGCAAAGGCAAGTGTCCTCAAATAGTTTTATTCCTGAAATAAAAATATTAAAAAGTAAAAAAGCACCGAGGTAGAAAGTGCATAATATACATGATTGAGAAAAGAGTGGGCTAGGTGAGAGGCAGAAGGGTAATGGTTTCAAGGGTTTTGGTGGGTTTTGGTGGGCTTTGGTGGGGGGTGTGGGCAGCACTAATGGGATTTGCCCATCAACCAACTATCATCTCTTCATCTCTATCTGCTCGCTCTGACCTGAAAGCAGCGCTAGCTACTGTTCAAACCTCACTCCCCTCAACTCTCCCTCAACAATTTGCCTCTCACCATTTGTATGCACCACTAACGTCTACAGGATTCACTTTCGGCCACCAATAGGATACAGTGCCAAATTTGTATTATTTTACTTGCCTGCTTTATGTTAAACAATGTCGTTTTCTCTCTAACTTCTTCTTTGATTGTTTATAAAATGTAACCAGAAATATCAAAACTCTAAATTTTTAAGGTGTCAAAATGTAAGAGACAATGAAAAATGGGTCAAAACAAAAGCAAAGGGTAGCAAGATCACAAGGAGGTGAATGAGGGCACATTGGTATTGGGCGGCGAAGGGAGGACATTATCAGTGGACGATGGTTGTGATGCCAAAGAAAATTGGGCCATTTTGAAATGAAGCAGCTGGGCTTGTGTCATCGCCAATTGTTGTTGTAGCGCATCTACTTGTCGTTGTAGGCACGATATTGTTCCCACACACCCGTAAATTGGGTCTCGAATCCTCGCATTCGCCTCGTACACCATCGAACTCACTGCGTCGCTCCGGTGTTGCTCGGGTAACTCCTGCATTTACCATGAAGATTTACTATCTCTTCCATGGTTTTTTTTTTCCAAAAATTATTCAATAAGTTGGTCTCTTTCTTTCTAACTTCTAGATGCATGTATAATCAAACTATAAGTTTTAATTTCCATACTCTACTCAATAATAATGAGCTATAAGGTTTAAGATGAAATAATGAATATTTTGAGATATAAAAAATGTAGAAATCATTATAACGTCACCATTACGCCAATAATAATCGATTAAAAACATACATTAATAATGGTTTAAAACTTTCCCCACGTCAAACCATAAAAGTAAATGAATAATAATTAAAAGAAGAGGAAGAGGAAGAAGAAGAAGAAGAAGAAGCAAGATGCAGACAAGTGTAGAGTTGTCCATATGTGTATGTCTTTACCTACAAAATAATAATTCCACACGACCCAAAGCTTGAAAATTATCCCTAATTTCCTAATATGAACATCTTCGTTAGTTCATCAAATGCAGAAGTCAAACCAATTAAAATAATGTATGAGACGACATAGATCATTCAATGATCTCAACTTAAGTTAACACAATTAGCATGTACCCATTATTTGTTATCGTCTATATTGTCGAGATATGATTAAAAGTAGTTGAGATATGATTCAAATATTCAAACTATCAACATTATACGAAATTGTTAGTAGATTTGAATTTATCTAAATTTACATGATTTACTATTTTTGGTCTTGTATATACTGTTGCAAATATTCAAACTACCAAGATTTTAGAAGATTGTTAGTAGAGTTGAATTTATCTAGATTTCCATGATTTACTATTTCTGGTCCGGTGTATATACTGTACTTGCTTAATCCTCTAAGCATCTAAGTTCAGTAGACAATAATAAATAATAAAGCACTGAAACTTTCATCTATTTTATCTATTTTTATCTCTCACTATCCTTTTTTTCCAACAATTTTAGTATCAGAGCCAAGTTCGTTCGACACGCGGGCGAGTGATTATTTTCTTTCACAAAACAAAAATGGCAGTAGTTAGTTTTTCTTACTCTGCACCGTTGTTACCAATCTTTAATGGTGAAAAATATGAGTGGTGGAGCATCAAGATGAAGACCTTGCTCAGATCGCAAGAGTTATGGGACTTGGTGGAGCATGAGTTTGTTGATCTATTAGAACCGAAAAGGAGAGACAAAGAGAAACCAAGAAAAACGATGTCAAGGCTCTATTCATTATTCAGCAAGCAGTTCATGAGACTATCTTTTCACGAATTGTAGCAGCAACCACATCAAAGCAGGCATGGTCAATTCTACCGAAGGAGTTTCTAGGAGATTCAAAGGTCATGATAGTGAAATTGCAATCTCTAAGACGTGATTTTGAAACTCTATTCATGACGAATGGCGAATCAATTGCTAATTTTTTGTCAAAAGCAATGACAATAGTCAGTCAGATGCGTACTTATGGAGAGAAAATTTCAGACGAAACAATTGTTGCAAAGGTGTTGAGAAGCTTGACTCCAAAGTTTGACCATGTGGTGGCTGTCATAGAAGAAGCTAAGGAGCTACCCATACTCTCCGTTGATGAACTGATAGACTCGCTTCAGGCTCATGAGGCAAGAATCAATAGATCATCAGAAAGGAACAAAGAAAAGACACTTCAAGTGAAGGAGACAACCAACCACGAAAACAACGAAAGAGAAAATATTCATTTAGTAGGTAGAAGTCGTTGAAGAGGAGGATTTCGCAACTTCCATGGTGGTCGTGATAACAAGGGTAGATGGAGAAGTGATGGACATAGACAATTCAATGAACAAAGAAATGTCATACAATGTTACCATTGCAGAAGGTATGGGTACACAAAATTTGATTGTTGGTATAAAAATCAACGAATGAATTTTGCAGCAGAGAATGAAGAAGAAGAAAAGCTGCTTATGACGTGCATGGATACTAATCCAAAAAAAGGTGACTTATGGTTTGTTGATAGCGGATGCTCGAACCATATGACAAGCACCAAATCCTTATTCAAAGAGCTTGATGAGACGCAAAAAATTTAAGATGCAACTTGAAAACACAAAAGAGATGCAAGTTGATGGAAAATGTACAGTGAAAATCGAAACCAATCATGGTAAGATAAAATAATTAGATAATGTTCAATTTGTACCTGATTTAGGGTACAATTTATTGAGTGTTGGACAAATGACGAGAGGACATTTTGTTCTATTTGATGACAACACATGTGTCATTACACATAAGAAATCAGGCCATAAAGTTCAAATTGTCATGACTTCAAATGAGATGTTTCCATTTGATGTTTCTAACATGGAGGATTTTGCTCTTACTGCTAGCACGAAAGATGACTCAACATTATGGCATCTCAGATATGGACATCTCCATATGAACGGCCTTAAAATACTCAGGGATAAAGGTATGGTTTTCGGATTACCAAGAATTGACTCAACTAATTTATGTGAAGGATGCATTATGGCAAGCAGACTAGGAAGTTCTTTCCTGTTGGAAAAGCTAGAAGAGCTTCACATTGTCTAGAACTAATTCATGCTGATTTATGTGGGCCAACGCAAAAGAAGTCCTTGGGTGGGAGTATATATTTTTTTACTATTCATTGATTGATGATTATAGTTGGATGAGCTGGATTTACTTCCTACAACAGAAGTCAGAAACTTTTCAGAAGTTCCAGATTTGTAAAGCTATGGTGGAGAATCAAAGTGGTTGTTTCTTCGCACAGACAGAGGTGGCGAGTTCATATCTAAAGTGTGAAGAAGAGGGCATCCAAAGGGAATTAACAGCTCCCTACACTCCAGAACAAAATGGAATCGCTGAACGAAAAAATCGAACTATTGTGAAGATGGCAAGAAGTATGTTATAAGCAAGGAGACTTCCAAACCAATTTTGGGCAGAAGCCGTAGCAACATCTCACCAACAAAGGCGGTTATGAATCGAACTCCTTATGAAGCATGACATGGGAGGAAACCATCTGTAAGTCATTTGCGAATCTTTGGTTGTGTTGCTTATGCTTTAAAACATCCTCAAATTCATCAAAAGCTTGATGAAAAATCTGAAAAATGCATTTTCATTGGCTATTGTACTCAATCAAAGGCATATAAATTATACAACCCCATCATTTGAAAAGATTTTAGTTAGAAGGGGTAATATTTAATGAAAACTTGAGTTGGGATTGGAGTAAAGAAACGGAGCAGCAAAAGATTACCGTTGAAGTTTCCCCAAATGAAGAGACAAGGGTCAACTCCAGTGCATCTCCTAGTGCATCCACTGCAACACAAAGTGTGTCAAATTCATCATCTTCAGCATCACTGAACAACAGTTCTTCTTTTAGATGAGACACCTCCAATGAAGTATAAATCTTTAGATGAATTATGAACAAGCAACTAAAAAAGAAGAGTGAAAGAAAGCTATGGTAGAAGAGATGCAGTCCATTGAGAAAAATGGAACATGGGATATGGTTGACTTGCCAAACGAAAAGTTCTATGGAGATTTACATGGAACATGCAGCCCGTTGCGGTGGCCTGTTTATCAGTTTGATGGAGATTTACAAGAAGAGGTTTATAAAACACACCAGAGGAATTCATAAAGGAAGACAAAGAAACAAAGGTATACAAGTTGAGACAGATATTGTACGGGTTAAAGTTGAAAGCCTTGTCAAAAGAAAAGCTCTATACTTGACATCTACAACTTTGAATCAAGGGGGAGTGTTCAGATATGATTCAAAGTATTCAAAATGAAGATATGATTTAAAGTTGAAATATGATTCAAATTTTCAAAAGACGAAAGATTTTAGGAGATTTTAGAAGATGGTTGGTAGATTTGATGATTTACTATTTGTAACCTCTAACCATGAAGTCTAGACAATAATCTATCTCTCTCACTATACCTTCTTTCCCAACATATATATATATATATATATATATATATATATATATATATATATATATGTGGTTTTAATAATTAAGGAAATGGGTAATTAAGAGGGAATAGAAAACCTGCAAGATTTTGGATACGAAGATTTTGGATGCACATTATTGGAATTGCTAAATTACAAGCAAGCAAAGCCAAAGCAAAAATCTTGATTTGATTCAAATCATCCTAACAGCTTCCTAATTTGATTCAATTATTGTGTTGGCTCCATCTCCTCATTCAACGTCTCGCCCTCATTCATTTTTTGTGTGTTTTTTCCCAACGTAGCTTTACTTATGCGCTTCATGATGATGCATACTTAAACTAAAATAAAATAATATAATGATAATAAATGGTTGACATAAATCAGAAACTCATTGCTAATTATAATTGATGAATGTGTGTATGGAAATAATTACTTGATTCTAAAAAAATAAATGGATTAGTCCGATTCAAAGGCCGAGGGAGAAGAACAGGCCGGCGGAGGAGTTGGTGGATGCAGATGGCGTGGGCCCTTATCTTGCCCGCCCCTCCAAGTCCAATTCGAAAGCCCAAGAGGGAGTGTAAATTAAACAACTAAATACCGAATATAATCCCTAATCTTCTATCCTTTTCAAACTTATTATGGGTGTATTAAAATTGTCATAACTTCTACTGTACACCCCTTTTCCTAGACATTGGACATCTGCCCCAACCTATGCATTTACATTCGAATCAAACTCCATACTTTTTTGTATCTCAATTTATTTTTGTCCACAGACATTTTTATCTCCCTCTCCAAATTCTTTTATTTTCACTATTTATTCTTAAATAAATATCAACTTTGCAATTTAGAAAATAATGACTTTGACTTCGACATAACATAACAACAGTCATATAATTAAGAAATTGGGAGAGGGGTTCGTTGCCTCATGAACCTTCTATTGCTGATCAATGCACGATAGTTAAAAGCATCTATACGTTTCTTCCGTTCATAAAGGACTTTTGCAGCTTCCAAGAAACTACCCATAGAAGTTGCTATGTCAATTATTTTGTGCTCATTAATTTGTTTCATTTGAAAAAAAAGGAAAAAGAGTTTGAAAAGAGAGAGAATTTGAGATCGGTACGACTTGGGTAGCTTTCAGTCCTCTGCGTGTCTTCCACCCTCATTTTCATAGCATTAATTATTTTGCTCTATTTTTCTTCCTTGCCTTATTATAATATATATGCTCTCTTTCCCCTTCTTCGTGCCTTTTCGAGATATCATTTGGGCACTACATTTTCTTAAACACCCTAAGCTCATCTCGTAGAAAAAAAGAAAAAAAAAAGATGCACTTTTGATTCCTTAAATTTTGTATTTTGAACTACAAGCTTATAATCAAAATAAATGATTGCATAAGCGCTCTCGAAACAATTATGAAGACATTCGAACAAAGGGAAAGTGTGAGGAAGAAGATAAGTTCACATGACGCCTTAATTTAAAGCGTCTGAAGAAGGCCCATGCTAGCCCCTACCCAAAATGTCACATTCCAACCTCATAGCCCAAAAATGTAGATAGGATTATTTATTCTACTCTTTTCCGTAAGAGTGAAAACAAGAACTTTATACTAATTAAATTGGTGTTTAATTTGTATGATTAGGTGTAAAAAGTAAAAGGAAGTGGGTTGAATTAATAATATAGAATAACTCTGTGATGAACGTAGATGACGAAAACTCGGGCAATAAAGATTTTTTGGTGGAAGTAATTTGGAAAAAACGGTGGGCCAAAACGTGAATTAATGTTGGATTGAAGGTTTTGAAAGCCTAAAAACGTAGTTTACCACGTCAATAATGGGAATCCTGTGAGACATAAAGAACCGCGTCCAACAAAATGGTGAGAGTCAAAGTTTTGTGAGTTTGACGTAATGAATAACCAGTTTAAATGATTAGTATAAGAAGATGGGCACCCAAAGTTTGAAGAACCGCAGAAGAAATGGATACTCCACAAGTTTGCGAGGGCGAGGATGAGATCCCGCTTCCCGGATTCCGATTCCATCCGACGGACGAAGAGCTGGTGAGCTTTTACCTTCGTGGGAAAGTTGAGAAGAGAGGCATCAGGCTTGGACTCATCAAACAGATGGATATTTACGAACACAACCCCTGGGATCTTCCGTGTAAGAACAAACTAAACATTACTATTAATAGTATTGAATTTAAGGGAATAGAATTGTAAAGTTTTGTGGGGCGGTTGACATGCAGATGGGAGCGGCAACGTGGGAGATAAAGAGTGGTACTTTTACTGCAAGAGAGGGAGGAAGTACAAGAACAGTATAAGGCCGAATAGAGTAACTGGGTCCGGGTTTTGGAAGGCCACTGGCATAGACAAGCCCGTGTATTCCAACGGAGGCGAGGGCAGTGAGTGCATTGGCCTCAAGAAAACGCTCGTTTACTATCGTGGAAGTGCTGGAAAGGGCACCAAAACTTATTGGATGATGCACGAGTTTCGCCTCCCACCTTCCAATTCCTATAACATTGCTCAAGAAGCGGTAACACATACTTCAAACTTCTTTTGCTTTTCCTTAAAAAAGAACTCTTTTTTAATTTCCATGATTGTGTTTGTGTGCATGCAAAAGGAAATCTGGACACTGTGCCGGATCTTCAAGAGGAATATGAGTTGCAGAAGGTATGGATCCAATTGGAACAAACAAACACCGACCAAAAACCCCTTGACTGATCAGAAGAACACGAAGCTGTGCATTGAGCAGGGCATGGGCAGTGGAGAAGTCAGTTATAACAATTGGAGCTGCGAGTCCATGATCATCCAGAATGAGCCGAAGGCAGTTGTTCCTAGTGACCCAAATAATCGTGAAGGGATGAATGAGAATTATCAATATTATTACAGCAGCAGCTCCTCCATGGCCCCATCTCCAGTTTCCAGTGGCATTATTTCAGCTCCAATAGCCTTCCCCACAAATGAGCAGCTTGATGTGAATGATTTCTTCACAAATAGCAACTGGGATGAGCTGAGATCAGTGGTGGACATGTTGTAGTTAAAAGTCCCCAAATCAGATGAGATTTTCTTTCCTCTTCTCTTCAGTAAATATTTGGGATTGGATTAGATTTGATGATCTTTATTTATGTTCCATTATTTGAGGGATTTGAATATATAGTACTCACGTTAGCAGGGTTGATTCATGTGCATATAATATATATCCCCTTGCTATATATGATGTAACCATTTAGATGTTACATGGGTTTTTCTTGTAACATTCTATATAGTGTTTAGATGGATCATTTTTCCCCGGCTCTGTAGTATTGAGTATTTTGAGTAGATTTTACATGTTCTTGTTGTTTGTTGGCTCGCTGTTTCTTTGTTTCTTCTTTAATTCAACAATATATGAGCATATGAATATAGATTAAAACACAGAGAGCGAGAATAGCAAAATTGATGTCCAAACATCTCAAACAACAGAATAACAGTCTGGTTATAAACTCTTTGGTTGGTGTATTAGGACTGTAACCAGATTCAGTTCAGAAGCTGCAACACCAAACTCTTCCGGTGCAGACTTCTGAAACATGGCAAAATTGAAATGTGTAAATATTGGAAAACAAAAGCTGGGTATTCTGTTGGAAGCAGAGCAGAGAGTAATTCATAGCAATCTACTCCTTCCTAATACCAAAAGCAAGAGAGTAGAACTGGAATTGAAATTTCATTCCATTCCAAGAGGGATCAAAGTTATGATTTTTGTAGTTCTGGAGGAATCAGATTCACGGGCCAATGGAGGGGCCATGCCGGTCTCAAAGCCGCTCATACTACTAATAATAGTAAACAACGGGGGATGGGATTCCTTTTCTTTGGACCTACAATATTCAATGCATGTTGCCCCCACGGTGTCGTTTTCCACTTCTTTTAGACATATATAAAACAAGCTTGGGCTCCCATTATTGCCGCTGCCTCCCTCCCGCTTATTCCCATCTTATCAACCAACGCCTTTCTGTTCAAATCCTTTTCTTTCCGCCTCTTGAATTTCCCCATTACATAAAATAAAAATAAAACTAAAGAGGACAGAGGTGTTGATATCAAAAGTATCTTAGTTAAAGAGGAGACATGTCTACATGTACACTGGCGTTGTTTGAGGATTTACAGATGGGGCATACGTGCACCCATGACCCACACCCACTACATAGGCACAGATGCCTGCACGGCAATATCACCACACTCGCTTCCTCTTTCCCGCACCTTCTGCACGACCTCTTCCTCCTCCTCCCGTTATGCTTATTATTCTTATTATTCTTATTATTCTCCACCACGCGCCACTCTCCTTCCCCCTCCCCCTCGTTGCTCCCGCAGCTGGACTGCGCCTCCTCCACCACCAATGCCCTCCCTCCATCCTCCATTCCCTGCTTCTGCTTTCGATCTTCCTTTACTTTACACGCGACTTCTTCTAGATTCCTTCTTAACGTATTCACCGCATCTTCGTTCGTCTGTGCCATGTCGCGCCATACTTCATTCTCTATACATAAACATTTCACTCTTTCCTCTAATGCCCAATTTAATTCCCCCATCTTTTCCATCTCTTCCTCCTTCGCTTTTAGCCTCTTCATCACACTCACTTCCATCGCTTCCATTATCCTCCTCGCATCACTATTCCGTTTCTCCTCCACTTCCGACCTCACCTTCTCCAACTGTTCCCATATGTAACCAAAGCCCACATCAATTCCAAATCCGGGTGAAGGGAGTTTAATTAATTAAATAATTGAATGTTGATCAACTGGACTTACGTGTTGGGAGATTATACGGTCCATGTCGAGTTGCTGCTGCTGGATCTGGGGGGAGATGTCTTCGCCAAGAAACGAGAAAGTTCCACAAGACTTGGGATAGGAGGCGAAAGGGTGGTTCCTATTCATACATTCTCTAGAGCGCTTTCTTGGCAGAGGGAGTTCCGAATTCATGGTCGCTGAGGCTACAGTTTTGGGGGAAACTGAATCGACGATCACGGAATGGTAGTTCCCGAGAGTAATGGAAGACCAAATGAAATCAATGGGGAAAATTGTAAATATTCGCATCTCCTTCCATCGGAATCGGAAATACTCTGCAAATCCATCACTCCCATCGTCAGAATCACATCCAAAAACTATAAGAACTGGAAAACAAAACCGCATATATGAATACCTGTTTCCTCCTATTAGTTGAGGATGGAAGAGATTAAGATGGCGAGCTTCAACAGCCACGAGAGAAAAGAAATGTTGCTGTTGTTGCTGTTGTGTTGAAAATCCTGTTGCAAAACAGAGGAGTCTTCGATTCTTATGCCAATGGGAAGTGTTGGTGGGAGTTAGGGAGAGTGAGAATAATGGGGAAAATTGGAGGGGGGACGTGCAAATGAAATCAAGGAAAGCAAGCCGTATGGGGTGGGACGTGGGGTTGCCTATTTTTGAACTAGGTTGGGTTACCTGCTTAGTATTTCAACTAAGGGAGGGTGTAATTTAGTGGAATAGGCAGGGGTATTTTAGTAGTTTCGGATGGGGCTATCTTAGCCCTGCTTTCAAGGCAACTTCAAAATAATCGAGAGGGAAGTTGGTTGGTTGGTTGGTTTGATTGAGTTAAAATAAGTCACAGCGTATGAATACGCCACGTAGCAAACGGACAGTGGAGGTAGAGACGAGGCCGCCACGTAGGCCCACCAAAACTACAAAACACCTTTTTTTGTTTTTTTGTCTCAGTTGGAGCTGGGCCCACGGAGACACGTGGGAAGTGCCAGCGTAGCAGTATAGGAGGGGTCAGAGGTCGTTGAGGGTACGGCGTACCCGGGTGGTGTGTTTGGCAGCATATTAAAAGTTTGGTATGGCGGAGAGCGTGATTGATGCTGCTCCCACGTGAGACCGCTAAAATTTTCATTTTCAATTTCATGCCATCTTTGCATATATTGTATATTTAAATATGGTACAAAGTTCATAAAATAAAATCATATTCTAATACTCTACAACGTCCCTTTGGACTCTTGTGCCTCACAAAACTATTCCTTTTTTCCTGAGTTGGGATAACGCCAAAACGCTTGTTTCAGCCTCCAAATTGCCTAAATAGTCCCTCCACTTCTAGATCTGCACCTAGCAAAGCTTTCAAATTTTAAAAACAACTCAACTCTTTATAATTAATTTAAAATAGTGGAGCTACTGTATTTGAGGCCCAAAATTTCTTCATTCAACCCAAGCCCGTGAGGCCCATATCTGAAAACCAAACTCCATTGGACCCAAGATGTTATGCATTATTCTTCTTGAGTAGAACAAATATAGATATACGGAAACTTCCAGAGTAGAAATATTTGAATTACAAGTCAAATACGCGGTTGATGATATCAAACTCAAATTCTTCTTGGTGAAGCGAACAAACCGACCTTTCGCCTCATTTCAATTTCCATGCACCTTCTCTTTTCCCACCATATTTATTAATATATAAACCTCCATGGATTCTTCATAAACTCGCATTCCAATTGAAATCCCTCCATCATTTCTCTACAATTCTCTAACTTTTCGTTGTTTATCTGCCATCAACAAATTCCCAGTAAGTTGAAGCTGCCACCCACTGATTTCATTTTCAATTACTACTTCTGCAGTTTATGTATATTAAACAGAGTGGTTGTTTATTTTTTAAATCTGTTGCAGTGGCCTATCCAGCGCCGCCTCCGTCGTATCCGGCGGTGGAGGAAGTGAAAGAGTCGAATTCGGGGCCTTATGTTGCAGCGCCGCCGCCTGTTGGGTATCCGGTGAGAGATGGTCCACAGTACCCGCACCAAACTTTTACGCCACAAACTCAATCCAAGGGGGATGGGTTTTGGAAAGGATGGTCAGTCTCCTCTCCTTCTAAAATATTTCGAACCTGCGTTTTAAATTCCCTTAAATTATGAGTTTTACAAGTATATATACAGAAATGATTATTGACAAAACTTATGGCTGTGTGCTTGTAGCGTTGCTGCGTTGTGTTGCTGCTGGGTGTTGGACTGTGTCTTCTGAGAATGCTGCCTACTTTGGTTACTGCTTTAGACTGGAGCGATTCACATTTGTTGTTTTATTATTATTATTACTATTACTATTACTATTATTATTATGCCCTTCCTTTTTGTATTTCTGGTATATACTAACTACCTTGTCTTATTTATCATTATTCGATTCACATTTCTTTTGTTAATAAATAAATTTTGCTTTATATTTTGTTTATAAAATAATACTTTTATGGTACAATAATAAATTATCAAAATTAAAAAAATTTATATGAGTACATTATTGAAATCTTTAACTATTGAACTAAAAAAAGAAAAAGAAAAAAAAAAAAAGAGTGTGTGATTTGAATCTGTTGATAGTTAAAAGTATTAGAATAGTGAGAGGAATATAAGACAGTTAAAAAGTGGAAGAGAAGGAGGGATGAAAAATCAACCGTTTTACAATCTCCTTTTTGGTGCAATTCTGAAGTCCTATAAGTTCATCCTCTCCACTGTGGTTTGGTTGGCAGAAAAAAGAAAAGCAGTGAGAAAGCAAGCCAAAAGCTTTGTCTTGCGTCTTCCCACCTGAAAAAAGCGAGGCTCAGAAGAGTGCTTTATAGATTCATAGAGACAGACGACACAAAAATTACTCTCCACAAAGCAGTGTAGCTGTCACCTTTGTTAATGCAGAAATTTAATTAAAAAAGCAAAAGCAAAAGCCAAAGCCAAAGCCAAAGCACCCATTCCCAATCCCATTCGACACCCACACTCCACGCCCTCTGCATTCTACCTTTTTCACCTTCAATTCCTTATCAAACTCCAAAGCAACTCCAACTCAATCATCCCACTCACTATTCCAATTCTTTTCTTTCTCCCTGAGCAATCCAAAAGCTCCTCCTTCCTCCTTCCAACTGCCCCACCTCACACTCAAAGCATCTTCCTTCTTCTCTGCTGCTACTACTACTACCTACATAAACATGCTCCTCCCCACTTTCTTCCCCATTTCCTCTACTTTTCACATACGGACACCAACACCCTGTTTCCTTCCCTTACCCAATCCCTCACCCCCCAACAGTTTCCAGATTGTTGAGACTTTCCAACCCAACTCATGGCCAGCTCCAGTGGGAGCAAGAACGAGGTGGGCCCGCCCCGTTCCTTGTCTCGCCGGATTACCCGAATGCCCACTCGGATGGTTGAGCTGCCCGAGGATAATTCCGGCATTGACAGCGAGCTCGTCCCTTCGTCCCTCGCGTCCATTGCCCCCATTCTCCGCGTCGCCAACGAGATTGAGACCGAAAATCCCAGAGTCGCCTATCTCTGTAATCACTCCAACTCATATAATTTTAACTATAATACTTTTATTTAATCTACGCCATTTTCTTCTGCTCTTTATTACGTACTAGTAACTGCCTCAAATCATCAATCATGATATACTTTTACTTTTTTGCGTGATTTTTTTTTTTTACCGTACCGAAAGCCCAAATAGAAAGAGGTTACAACGGCAATCATTTTCATGTCTAGAGTGATAGTCAATTGAGAGGCAGGGATGGTTTGTCTTTGCCACCACCATTCCTTACTCTCTCTATGATTTAGTAATTGTGGCAAGCCAAGCTTGGAACTGCTCCGTCACTTGAATTGGATGGACTTCAATAATGGTTTATGTAATCTCTAGAACACAATAATGTGGCGTCATTGAATTATATTGGGATACATAACACGACTTCTTCTTTCATGCAACCAACCAAACCATTGAGTTTGCAAGCGACTTCATGTAATGTGAAATTATCTTCATATATGTTTAATTTTCCTCTTTCTCAATTTAGCCCCCCTTTCCTTAATGATATGAGTGGAAGGACCCGCATCTCATGAACTAGAGAACTTTTTAGGGAGTATGCTGAATGGATACTGAAAATTTTCATCTATCAACTTCCTTCTGCCTTTAACTTTTACCTCTATCCTTCACTGGTAGGTGATATACTTGAAAAAGTTTCCTCTGCGTAACTTGTAGTTCTGTAGGTGCAGTAAAAGAAAAATTACAGCTGGATCATGTTATGAGTGTGACCATGTTACCAACCGGATGTTGCAGAGATTTCTTATTTTCTTTTTGCACTGTTGTTTAGCTCCTAAAACCACAATTGAACTCTGTATTCCTTGTTACTATAATTTGTAGGCCGCTTCCATGCATTTGAGAAGGCTCATAAAATGGATCCAACATCAAGTGGACGTGGTGTCCGGCAATTCAAGACCTATTTGTTACACAGACTTGAAAGGGTATACCTTTTAATATCATAGTGTTTCTAGATATGGTCGCAAAGTGAACTTCAATCGGCTCAAGATAATTACTTTCTAGATTTGGTAAAAAAGTTAGCTTTTAATAGGTTCAACTTTATTACTTAAAGCATTAAACAGTCTGCATTCAGATTATTATTATTATTTAACTTAAAGAATATGAAGAATAGACATTTTAGTTTGGGCAATGTGTTTGTGTCACATGTCAAACACTCCTAACTTTATTGGCACAATAGATATATGCTAGACACTAGTTGAGTAAGTTGAATATGAGTACAACACTTTTTTGGATACATGTTAACATTGGCCAAGGACACGTGATTGAGACTCATGCCAAGCACTATTAGATATATGATGTATTCGAACTTTTATGTATTTGTTTACTCTTAAAAAAGTGGACAAAAAATAGGTATATAGAACAAAATAATAAATAGTGGGAGTGAGGTATATTAATTTCCTCTTCTTTTGAGGACAAAAATACATAAGCTTGTTAAATTAAAATTTTCTTATGATAGAAAAATAATATATTTAAAAATGATATACTCTAATAAACGTCTCCTTTTCATGTCTATGTTCATATCCATGTGTCATTCAAGTTAATCGCTTAAACCATTAATTTGTCTATTTAGAGTCCTTTTCACTACAAACTTTCATAGCCTCACAAATTTAAATTCTATACAAAACATCACATTTATATGTTGGTCAAAAGTTTCCTTCATAACTTTTCCTCCTCTTCCCTGCTATTGTTTCATCTTTCAGAACCATGATGTTTGAACATCATCAAGCATCTGTTTAAATTATGCTTAATTTTTTAAGAAGCTTTTAAAGATATACATAATGTATTTTTTTTTTCCCAAGGTGGAATGTGCAATAAGCACCTTAAATTTCTACTTTTTGAATGATAAGATTTTTGCAACATTTGGATAAAATGCTTCATCTATATAATATTTTGTTGATTTAAGGCATGGATCAAAGTGCTCAAAGAAAATGTATACTTGTTACAGGAAGAAACTGAAACACACCCAATCCTTGAAAGACATGATGTTCAAGAAATTCAGGCCTTTTACCAGAGATTCTATAAGCACAATATCGAAGGAGGAGAGTATACCAAACGACCGTGAGTTTTGTTTCTCATCTTTCATATGCCACAGTCTTGGTTTGCATGCTGCTTACACCTTTTGTTCTCCTTTGATTCTTGAATTCCTGAAGGGAAGAGATGGCTAAGATGTATCAGATAGCGACTGTACTATATGAAGTGCTACAGACAGTGGTACCTTCTTCAAAAATTGACGTAGAGGTATGAGTCTTCAAACTTTCAATGCAAGAAATAATTTAATTCCTCGAACAAAAACATGAAATAATTTGTCTAATTTGTCATTACAGACAGAGCAATATGCCAAGGAGGTTCAAAGGAAAAAAGAGCAGCATAAACATTATAACATTCTCCCCTTGTTTGCGATGGCGGTTAAACCAGCTATCATGGAACTTCCGGAGGTTAACAGAAGTCTAAATGATACTATATTTGCGTTAGTTCACTACTTAACCTCTTAATTTTAGTGCCCTATACTTACTTTCATCAGTATTGTATAGATTGAAGCAGCAATTGAAGCATTACAGAAGGTGAGCAATCTTCCTATGCCCCAAATTCATTCAACCGGCAACCCCGATGAAAATCCGCCAGCACCAACGGAGAGGGTGAAACCTATAAATGATATACTTGATTGGTTATCCTCTATTTTTGGGTTTCAGGTAACTTGTCTTTTGGAGACTCTAGTTACAATGGAATTTGTTTTAGTGTTACTGGTAGTTGCTTCTGGAGTTTAGCTGGCTCTAATCCCAATATCATTGGAGGGTGTTTAGGGTTTCTTTGATATTTGATGGAGTATTGAGACTTGGTTTCTTATAGCTCGTGGAATTGTGAATTTGTCAAATTCCAATCCCTATACATCCAATCATCTGCTAATTTGATCTAGTGCTGCTCACTGCTTTTTATCGTGTATTTCGTTCTTTCTGTTATTCATGCCAATAAGGATTAGAAGTTTTCATTGTTGGGATGTGTCCGTGATATTTGAGATTGGTGTTTTTTCTTCTCATAAAAAAGAAAATCGTGCTTTCTATTGGATTAATTTTCTCAAGGGTTAAAATACTTCTAGATTTATTACATCCAACTTTAGCGAGTCTAGTTGTGATACCGTATGAATATGGTAAAAAGGAAGATAAGATCTGCTAACTGCTAGCATGTCTTCTTTGGATATGAAGAAAGGAAATGTAGCAAACCAGAGGGAACACTTAATTCTGCTCCTTGCAAATATTGATATAAGGAATAAGAAGCCACAAGTTCCTAAACAGGTAATTTGTTTTGCAGTTGAGAACTATCTATACTATTCCGTTTAAATGTGATCTCAAATTTCTATTAGAATTCATGTGCTGCATCTCATGTTAATATTTTGTGTTTATGCAGCTAAAAAGTGGCACTGTACAGCAACTGAGTGAAAAAATCTTTAAGAACTATATTTCGTGGTGTAACTATCTTCGTTGGAAGCCAAATCTTGGGTATATCTTATTACCATGAATATTGCTACCATTAGTTAATGTCTTGGAATTTTATTAAATTCCATTGATGCTGTCATCTGTGTTCTATATTGTTACATTGACATGCACACAACTTATAAATGCCTTTATTTAAGCATATCTTATACATTATTATATATAATCTATGTAGAACTCATCGTGCTATTTTAATATTTGAGGGCTATTACCAAGGGCATGATTTTTAACATTCGGATTTTCTCCTGGTTGTCACCAACCCCTTGCGGCTTATGTATACATGGTTTATTTCGTCCTTCAGGTTTCCTCATGAAAGTGACCGACAACAGTTGCAGCTTATTTATATTGG